TGTTTAACAAGTTCTTTGTGTCTATGATGATAAAAAACAAACTTTTCTGGGCTCTTCTCATTTATGACTAATCACTGTCCAAAGTTTGCATTTCTGAATCTTAAGTCAAAAGATCCAATGTCTAGCTGGTCCATGATTTCAATGTTGACTTTGATCCATAGATAAAATATTTTCAACATCAGTGGTGGACTAGCCAGCTTGCCTGGTGACAAGTTGGACACCTATATCAAATAAAAATACCATAAAGAAGCAAACTCAGACAACTGTTTTAGTAATAAATAAAAATAAGAACTTTATATAAAGTCATCTGCACACTATCAGTTACTTAAGTCCAATGTGAGAGGACATTTTCAATAAAAAAGATCATAAAGACAAGATTAAGAAATTTGGTGTCTAATGAGAATTTGGAATCATATATGTTTGCTTTTCATTGAAAAGGAATTGTTAGATGAATTGGCTGATTCATATAGTGAACTGCATGCAATGCTCTAGTGTGCCTTTGACCTGATTGTTAATGTGTAAATTGTGCAGTAAACTTTAAAAATATCAACCAATTACTTAAAATTAAAAAAATAAATAAAAATTTAAAGTATAACATTTTGTATTTACATCTTGCATCTACTACCAGTAATATGTATACTGTAACTACACTTTTTCTATATGTATATTTTTTAAAATTTTATTTATTCATTATGAAAAATTAAATGATAGCATTGTAGTTGTGGGTGGACCCTCTTTGTCTCCTGACAACCAATATTTTTAGACCCAGTCCGTCACTGTTCAACATTGTGGATATATTTGCCAGTTTGGTTTAGATAGAAAGCAAAGAAACTACAAAGTCACATGTTAATTGAAATATGGCCACAGATATAATTTCAAATCAGCATAGATAAAATACCCCTTATATGCAATAAGTTTTGTAATGTTAGTAGTCTTTGCTTGTCAGTGGCAAAATGTGACACAAGGTCAGTGATTTAGTGTGGAATTCAAATTTTGGTCAGTTTATTTTTAACTAGATCATAAAAAGAAATACATGGTTCCCTTGATCTTTGTCACAAGTATCAGGACACATACGTACCTATAATGGGGAGATTCTGCTTCAGAAATAGAATCTTGGTTAACAAGCCTAGAATGAGATATAGCCAGTGTATGTGAATATTAGATAAAAATGAATGTTGACTTTATCCTCAATTAATATACAAATAAGTTGTTTTTCTTTTTTAAAAAAATTAAAAATCTTGATCTTATTCAGCAAAACATACTTTCCCAATTTTAACCTTTTCAAGTCTAGGGTCAACTGTTAACTATCCTATATATACAAATAGTATGCATTGCTCTTTTTATGCCCTTACAACAATCTCATTAAGCAATCCTCTACCCTAATTGACACTTGGGCCTTGTATTGGGTTAAAAATAGTGTATGTATGTATGTATGTATGTATGTATATATATATATATATATATATATATATATATATATATATATATATATATATATAATTGATTAAATTCAACATATTGTTATTTTTAATTTATTTTGTTTAAACCTTATTTTTGATGGATACTCATATTCAAGTAAAAGCTGTTTTGTTTTTAATTAAACAGTATTTTTTATCCAACTACATCTACCTGCCTGAATATTCAAGAAATCTTGTCAGAAAAATATGTGTCCTCTAGCAGGATTCGAATCTGCATCCTCTATGGGGAACCATCATTGGATCTGACATGCCTAACTGCTCGGCCTCATAGGATTTATAGTCAAACAAAGGCCTATAGATGTATTACACACTTTAATAAATAACTAAAAATGGAGCATCTATTTAAAAAAAATAGTGTCCACTATAATAATGTTTGAAGTAATAAAAATAATAATTCATTAATTCTTTAGAAATATATCTCAGGAATTAATGGATTTATTAATTTGACAGGTTTGGTCAATGCTGAGAGGCATATTTTCTTTATTAAGACTTTCAATTGTTCAGACCAGTAGACAGACAGACACACACACACACACACATAGATGAAAGGAAAATTTATCTTAGATAATGTGTTTCATCCTCCATGGATTAAATGTGTTGGCTAAGATAAGTTTTCTTTTTGCCTTTATTCATATTGTCCTTTTACAGATATACCCTCTCTCTCTCTCTCTCTATCTATCTATCTATCTATATATATATATATATATATATATATGAGGTCTCAAAATATTAAACCAAATAATTTTGTATTTGCAAATGTTATTCTATCATAGATTAAGCATCAAGATACAATTGTAACTGACTTATCAAAAAGCATACAAAAATATAATAATAATGCCATCAAGAATAATTGGAAGTGGAAAAGTTTGAATTTCATCTCAGTTTCTGTTCTCTGGTTTGCTGTAAACCTGAATATCCATTAAAAACCTGATTAAAAAAAAAACAAAATAAATAACCTAAATGGATACAGACAAATAATATTAAATTTGGGTTATAATAAATAAATTTGGGTTAAAATGGTAATGGTTTTTAAAAATTAGCTCATTACCTGGTAAGTAAAACTTATTAACTTACCATTTATTGGTATCCAATAATTGGAAATTGCCTAATCATCTGGGAAGATTAAGATTTTCTTTTGGCATTTTAAGTCAATCAATGTCAAGTGTAATTAAATTCTATTGAAAATATTTAATGATTCGCTTCTCTGTTATTCAATTTCCTACCATCCTATTTTTAAAATTAATTCTATCTACAAGGGCTGAACAAGAAGTATTGGGACTGGTGCTATAAAAAGAAAACCACAATACATATCAATTCAGTATTTAATCTCCCTCAAAATAGTCCCCTTCTGACATCACACACTTTATCCAGCATCATTTCCATTGAGGGAAGCATTCCTGGAACTCCTCTTTTAGAATAGCAGGCAGTCTTGAATTTTTATTCTTGTCAATTGGGATTTGATTTTTGGAAAGAAGGAAAAGTTGCAAGGGGCAAAATCTAGGGAATGTGATGGTCGTTGGATCTTGTGAAAGTTGTACTTAGCCAAAAACTGCTGCACAAGCAATGGTCACTGATGGAACCTCTGTGTTGTGGCAAGATGACCATACTCTACACACTTTCCTTCCAAGCACTGCTATAAACAATGGAAGAGAGTGAGAACATTATAACTTAGTGTGCATACATGACAGAGTTTAAGGTCAATTCCTTCCGAGTGGCTTCACTCTGCCTACTTTAGTTCTGTTAGCATAGCAATAGACCTGATACATTTTGATCAGACTTCATACTGTTAAACACTCATTTGCCCTCTCTCTCTCTATCTATCTATCTATCTATAATGGGGTACAAAAAATGTACTATCTGACCCTTTTCCCAAAATCAGTATTTCAATGACCAAATATCAGAAAACTAATTTTGAGAAGTGGACCAGGCAAAAAAATTTTCAGTACCTTCTTCTACAATGTAACAAATGTGTGAATATTAATCTAAAAAAATCCCATGATAAACCAACAATAAAATTTCTCATTACAAGTTCAAAGTATTAAATGTGCATAAAAGTTCCTAGTGACCGCATTTCTTTTTTCTTATTTTTGTATAAAACTTTTTTAAAACTAAAAAGCATCTGGGAACTTTTACATACATCTAATTTATAGTTATCAGCTGTTCAGAGCAGTAATATCTATATACAATTTACACCCATTTTATTTTGAGTTGCTTAAAATGATCTTAACCAAACCTGAGATTTTCAGAAAGATTAATCTTAGAAAAATACTTCTGTATTGTGGTCTATTCTTGTAGACTGTTTGTAAAGCATGAGGCTCTAACAATACTGTTGCTTTTCTATTTCAGTTTCTTTTTCAAGTCTCTTATATTCCAGTTGTAGGCTATATGGACACAACCTCAACTCACTAGATGTGATATCCATAGCAAATAGGTTTTTCATGAGCTGGAGTTGCTAGCTCCAAGCCCAAACCAGTTTTGAATTCAGAGCTGTTCTTCTAGACTTATTGCCAACTTAGGCTAAAAAGTTTAATTTTTTGTACTATTTAACCCATAGAAGGTGTAAAGATGGATTCCTACCATTCTCAAGCTTATTTGCATGACAATGAATATAATGAACTTAATGGGAATTTGAACTTGGCTTGGTGATTTTTTTTTCTGAATTGCTAAATGTTACACTACTGAAATATTCTCTTGTTTCACTAGCAAGTGGATTTTATGGGATTCCTAACATTTTCAAACCTGTGATTTTGAATTCAGAGTTGTCTTTATCCTAGGCTGCTTGCTAAATTTACCCTGCTAACTTTCCAATTGCTTGTGTAGAGGAGATGAATTTAGGTCTTTTCCAAGTGCATCAGTGCAAAGTGAGCACAAACTGTCTTAGAAAGGATTTGAACTCTGCTCACTGATTCAATTTTCCATACTGTTAACTGGTATGCCACCTACATTTCCACTTAATATGTATGTATACCTTTTTGAATTTTGTGAAAACTGAACCTATATTTAACTTTTTGACCCACATGTAAACTGAACCTATGTCTGCCTTTTGACTCTCATGTAAACTGGACCTATGTTTACCTTTTAAACACTACCTACTATACTATTATAGTATTTAGCATTAAATATTCTGGAAAAGATTTATATACTGTAAAACAAACCAAACCAAATTATCCTTAATTGTAAACTTATGAAAAAACAAATTTTGTTATAATTTAAGTATATAAAATACTTACATTGATTGTTTGAATGATTTGTTTTCTACGGCTTATCAGCCCATTGCAGGTTATTTTTAGATTGTAAGAATTTTCTTTTTAAAAAAAATAATAATAGTTTAGCAAAATAAGTCTTACTAATTAACATATAGCTAGGGGAGAAGATGTGGATTCATATCTCTTCCAAGGGTATATGCACATAAGTGAATATAACTCAAAAGGAAATTGGAATTTGGCTCTCTGATTAATAATTTCAAGCCATTATCCATTACACCACTTACATATGTTTGCAGCACCTGGTATTCCCAAGCGGTTTGCAGCACCTGGTATTCCCAAGCGGTCACCCATCTAGGTACTGACCAGGCTTGACTTCAGTGATTATACAGGAACCGGTGTTTCAAAATGATGTGGCCATAAGCCTAAAATACTTACAAAAATTCAATTTAACCTAATGTTTTACAGAGAATATCATCTGCTATAGAGCTAGTCTCAGGCCATTATGTGTAAGCCACAGCTAAACTTTGGAAATAGTTATAATAAAGATGGAATAACTTTGTTGCAGCTGATAAAAAATGAGAACATTTTCATTGATTTGAATATTGTCTTCAACCATAGAAGTGCAAGTGGTGGAATGGATAACAGTTTGGAATGAGGAATTGGAGAACAGAGTTCATATTCCAGTCAAATTTTGTTACATTTACTTTTGTGCAAATACCCTTGAGTAAGGTATAAATCCATGAATTCTCCTAACTATAGGTTTAATAGTAAAGCAGACCAGGCTTTTCAGCCTTGTATGGCAATCAGTCTAGGAGAAGGAAAACTCTGAATTTAAAAATGTATGTATCCCCATTAAAGCACATGCTATGCAGCTAATGAAAGGATTGTGAAGTTTAAAATGACGCTTTGATCTTGACTGTTGTCAGCCTTATCTGTTGTTGTCTGTCAATCTTAGTACATATATTTTAACTAACAAAATAGCTATTGTTTATTAGATTTATGTTGCAGGGAGAGTACTATTCTCATGCCTGTCTATTATTAAAATGTTTTCATCATCCCTTCAGCTTACAAATGGGAAAATTTTAGAACTGAAGATTGCTTGTCTAGAGCTTTAAAGGGATCTGATTTGGGGACCATTTAACCAGCCCATTTTCAATAGGTGATATTAAATTTGGAAAGCCAGCAATAAAACATACACAAGCATTTTTTATTCTAACAACATATTTAGCACTTCATTTTTGGCCTCATATATTTCATGATTGATTTGTAAATCAAAGGATATCCAATTCCTTTAATTCAATCTACCAGAATAAGTAAGAACTTTATAGCTTGTTTAGTGAAGATTCTTCTCCAATGAGAACTGTTTGTTTCAACACTCTTTTATGTTTCACAATTCACATGCATTCTGAATAAAATTAATCAAAACTTGATTAAACAAATCAAATACCAAGATTGAAGAATCAATATTTTATCTTATACAAACTTGAACAATATGTCAAACTCATACTGTGTAATAATATCTTTTTTTTTCAATACATTGTCAGCCATTATTAATCTCAAGATGTTTATACATATGGAATAAACATAAGGAATTTAATAATCATCTGTATTATTCATAGTTGTAAACTGATAGTTTGAGTAGCTGCAATGAAAAGTAACTAGAGTTAAGACAAAAATTAATAATGATTAACAATTCTTCATCTGATTGTCTTAGTAGATGCAATAAAAGAGATATAAAAAAAATAACATTAATTTTAAAGCTGTATGTAGTGGAGACAGTCATTAGACTAACTTTGGTACAAAAACAAATTCATAGAACACTCAATAAGATTAAAACTCACTTATGTGACTAGCTTATTTATCATTGCTGTATTGAAGATGTTTCTATAGTGTGAACTGTATTATGGTATATCCAGTGGAGTTTGGTTAATCTTACTCAACAGGTTAGTTACTTTTCCAATATATTGTACATCTGATTCAACATTGTGGATAAGTTCATGTTTTGTATTTAAAGTTCATGTTTTGATTTTGGTTATGTTAAAATATTTTGACTATCTCAATTATAATCAAGAACTGGATGTTGTCAGCATGGTAGACAAGATTTTGGCATGCTAGCACTTTTTGGAATGCTAGAATTCAAGTATATATATATATATATATATATATATATATATATATTTTGTATAAGTGATGTGCAAAATGGTTACGCAGAACTAGAACACATCAGAAAATATTTTTCACCACAGGAGATGGTATTTTAATATATATATAAAAATACCAGGATGTAGCCAACTCAATCTTATCTACCATGCTGAAAATACCCAATTTTTGATGATGTTTGATATGATCAAAAGTAAGTAAACAAAACATGAACTTTGTACAGTTTATCCACAATTTGGTTCCAATATACAACACCTTATTTGAAAATTGGAAAAATAGAATAAAAAATTTAACAGATAGACCTTGTTGGTGGAATTTAAAAAAACATTTTTGGTGAATTTTTGTTGCTTAAATATATCTAAATATAACTATGTGTGCATGTGTCTAAATTGATATATTTTTCAGAGATTAATAACTGTTGTGGATCCCATGTGAAAAATAGGTATCCAATAAATGACAAGCTTTAAGCTAAGAAATTAAATGTATTTACACAAAATACGAAAGGTAATGCTGTTAGTAAAATCCAGGAACACGGTTAGTAGCAAATACAGATAGATATATAGTCTCGAAGTAGGACTTCCTTAGAGTCTACGTGCTTGTAACTGACTTCTACAATAGGTTACTTCACTCTATCCGACTACCGACACTCACAGACGACTCATGTACAACTCCGGTACGACTCCTGTATGATTCATGTACGACTCCGGTACGACTTCTCTTCTCTGCCTGACTGTGGCTATTTTATGGCAGCAGGACGAGTCCATTATATCCGAAAAGTGTGGACCCCATAATACCCCTCTCCTTAGATCCCTTTTTGGAGGGAGTTAATATTTTTGTCTCTTGTGGTTGATGATTAGTGACAAATTTTCTTTTCCTATTTGACCTTCTCATTACTGTATTTTCCTGCGGTCTTTGTATCTCAAACGCTTCAAAGATTGTATTCATAGCGTCGTCATCTTCTACGGTTGACGAGCTTGGTTCCTCAATTCGTCTTTTCTGTAGCTGGTCGATATGTCTTCTGTGTGTGAACTTTTCACCTTTTATGGTATACATTAGATTTCCGATTCTATTTATTACTGTACCCGGCTCCCAGTACGACATATTGTTTCTAAAATTTTTTAAATAAACCCGTTCTCCAAGTTTGAATGTTCTCTTTGGCACCATCGGTGTATATTGATTTTTGCTCTTGCTCAGTAATAGTTTATCAAACACCGATCTTATTTTCCGCGCGAACATTAATTCTGCCCTTCTTTCTTTTTCTTCTTTCTTTTTATAGTGTTGGATTGTTCAACCTCTAGCTTTTTGCAAAACGAGTTAATAGGTAGGTCCCAAACGTTGAATTTCTGCATCCAGTCGATACCTACTAAGTTTTCAGTATCTTTCATGATGTATATCTTCAGTTTTTTTGTTTTGCCGTGGAATTTTACATTCAGTATTATTTCTCCCTCAAATTTTATTCGTTTTCTTGTAACTGATTTGGCAATTTTTGAGTGTGTAACATCGTAGATCTATTGAGTTTTTTCCATGTCTGTAAGTTGATTATCGTGAGGTTGGAACCCGAATCCAGCTGTAATTTAATCTTTTTGTTTAAAATTTTGAGTTCTACATATTTCCTTACATTGATGTTGTCATCATTATTCATCCTTGTAGCTCTTATTCGTATAATTTCTATTTCTGCATTGGGATGCCTTGTGGCCTTTTTTTCCACATTCATGACAGTTTTTATATCTGAAGTGGCAATCCTTGTTCCAATGTAATCCTCCACATCGATAACATGCTGCTGGAGGGGGCTTATATTTGTTTCGATATTCATCATAATTTGTCCTGTATGTCGTAGTTTTTCTCTTATCATAATATTCTATTTTTCTTTCCAGGGAGGGTGAGAATCTTTTTTCATTGTCGTAATATTTTTTTTTCTTTTTCGGGGAGGGTGAAGAACGTAGATTTTTTGTTTAACTTATTATATGAGAAACAGCCGATTCTTCAATGTCCTTTGCGTCTTTCTTAATGCTTAAACATCTCTGGCAATCTTCTGATAATTGCTGTAATGTTAGACCCGGTTCATTTTGTAATTTTGCCAGCATTCTTCTACACATTTCACTGTCTTTTGTAGAAACTAGCCCTTGAACAAAGATGAGACATTTAAAAATATCCGGTGTTAATTCCGCTAGTTTGAAGTCGTCACAATGTTTATTTACTATTGCGGCAAACGTGGAATAATCCTCATTATCGCCCTGTACCAGGTTATGGCATTTCCACCTCCTATGGAAGAGTGATGTTTTGGGGCTGAAGAGTTCTTTAAGACATGTCACTGCTTCGTCAAATTTTAATTCATTCGTCTTTTTTGGCAAGATATAATCCACGAACTTTGTATATTCTTCAGTTCCCAATTTTCTAAGCAATAGACATAGCTTTTTAGTTTCTGTCCAATTTTGACAGTCTATGTTAAAGATGTCTTCATGTCTTCTGAAGTAATCTCCAAAATTTTCGTTCTCATCTAGAGAATATTTGAAAATCTCTTGCGAAAATGGCTTCTTTTTCCAATATCTAACTGCTTGTTGCCTGCTACTATCAATATTAAGCTCTGTTTGTCTATCTTGATTTTCCTTTTGCAATAATTCTTTTAATTTCTTGTAGCTGTAACTGTTGCTCATTTTGGTGCTTTATTAGTTCTACCAACATATTTTTAAAATCTTTCATGATAACTCAATTTTCTGTATTTTACTCCTCAAAATTGTTTGTTAGTTGTTGTTGGACGATGAGGAAGGATTTTTCTATTTTTTTTTTTTTTTCATGTGAGTTCGAATCACTTGACGCCAATTTGTTTGAGGAAGATTTTTCTTTTGTTGGTGCTTTTTCTTTTCCTTGGGTTTGAATCTTGTTGTTTTCGAAAAGTTTTGCTTTTTTGCAGTTGTTTGGATCCCACATGAAAAATAGGTATCAATAAATTGCCATATTTAAGCTAAGAAATTTTCACAAAATTAATAGTAAAATCCAGGAACACAGTTAGTAGCAAATACAGATAGATATTGTCTCATTTTGGTGCTTTTATTAGTTCTACCAACATGCCTTTTTTGGCAGCAGGAAAACAATAACTAAACCTCCTAAAGATGTGTTCTTTGGTTTTATAAAAATATTACATCTTATAATTTTGGCATTATGTCTTTAATTTCCCTTAGATTGCAAATAAATTCAATCTGTTTATTGATTTATTTTTAAGAATAGTCTAGAATTGTACATGAGAAATTATATCTCTTGG